AAGACTTTCTTGGCCTGTAAGGAATGTTCTGTCGCTGTCATGCATGCATTTAGATTATGCACAGTCTTCATTTAGAATTGAGGCAAGGTTGGGTATCAGACCAGTGGCGAGGCCACCTTCCAGCAATTGTATGGCCATGTCTTTGGCTCAGAGGTCTTCGCTGCCTATATTTGGCATCCATGGACACCAAATTGACAGCTTTGACAGCTTGCATTAAGCGCGGTAAATGGTAGACGGGGTAGCTCATTTATGTGAAGAAGCTGTTTTAATAAGTCCGAATTGTCACTCTGATCAATTTGTGACGCAGTTGAAAAGGCATGTATCCCCTCGTACTTTAAAATCAGTTGAAATGGTATTTTACAAATATGGCGCTACACCATCCTGTCTACAGACTAGAGTTTAACACCTGAATTAGGGTTGCAGCGAATTTATTTCGACCGTGGACAATTTCTCCAGCGCGAAATATTTGTACTGGCTCATGATGAAAGTACTCAGTCGTAATTGACATGCTCCCTGTATCGCTCCAGCACCACCACGCTAGGCTTTACGATCTACTTGATGGGTAAGCAATTACAATGAGACACAAGGATGTGTATTACATCCATACGACTTTCCAATTAGATGACAAGCGGTGGCCACTAGTTTCCAGGATACTGAGGTGAGCACTATTCTACCTAAGTGCACCCACGCAGCCATCCTATGGACGATCATTTCCCGGTCCCGAGAAAAGCGTTCCGTTCCCATTCGTTCCAACGATCCGACCATATTCAACAAGACTTACACAGTCAAGTAATTTTGAGGAATGACTTACGAGGATCGAAGGAGGAGTGTATATCGATTCGTATGAATAGTTTCTACTATCTGCTCTGCTCAGCATCATGAAGGTGTAAGCACCCTGGTTACTTCTCACCTTTGCTTCTTTTTACTACCTGCGAAGAACATGAATAATCGTTGGCCCATAAGAGATCTCACTTAACGACTCTTACGGAAGGTGGAGAATTTTGGCTATTCATAAAAATATGAGCTGGATTAACGTGAGCAAAATGGTTAGTTTTATGCAACATAGTGCTTCTGCTACCGACAAAATTTGATAAAGTCGTCGCCAAAAGCTTCTGTCCACATCATTAGCAGACTTACTGAGAATTTTGGTCAGCTTCGGCATTTATCGCCGCTTCCTTTATCGTCTAGCAACGCCAACTGCTGGAATGAGATGGCTTGTCGACAGCAGATAGCGCTGCAAGCCATGCTTCGAGCTTTTACTACCCCGACAAACTGCTAAAATCCATGAGCCCGCGTGTACTGACATCGTCAAGGGTGGTCTGGATGAAGGAATGATTCTGCGCGAAAGTGGTAACATATCGCAACAAAACATCGGACAAGACGACACTATACTGTTTATATGATTAAATTCTCGTTTTTTTCGCCACTCTCCTCCGAATTTACCTGCCCGAATCGACAACAGGGACGACTGGGTATGTTTATATTCAAAAGCGTTTGAGGACAATTTGAGATTAAATTGTGTAATATGAACAATCAATATCGTTTCGCGCACCACATGGTATGTGCCAGTCATATCGAAATTAAGTTCAGGTGCTGATTTGACTTTTAGGCCCTGTGTACACCGAGGCGCTACCTCGTCTTTCACGGCACCTAGAGGCGTATAAAAATGTCACTACGATCCTAGAAACATTTGATGGACAGCATAGAGTGGACCACAGTTGTGATATTCTTTTCCACGGCTTCTAAGAACGGAGAGTCAGTAAACCTTTTATGGATAAGTACAACTTGAGGCTGCTAGCTAAAGACATCAGTCACATGGATCCAAATAAACAGTAGACGAATATAACTTTACAATAATCTCAAACAGGCGTACTACAGACAGCCGGTACAAGTGAGCAAGGTAGATCGTGGTGTTTTGGACGGCAAGAAACTCATAATGTGCAAGGCTCTCAGTCTGAATCAAGGTCGGGATGGATGGAGACAGAGGAGGTGAACATCAATTAGTATAAGCTCGTTGGCATGGTATTTGAGCACGTCAGAAGCTGCGGCGAAGCTGCTTATTTCGTAGTGTCGACGTGGGACCGGCTTTGGGAAAGGACAAAGTCACATCAAATATGTGTCTTGTCCTACGTCAGTGTATATTAGAAAAAAACCTGAGGGTATCTATCCTGTCGAATTTCAACGTTGCTGCATCGTCACATATCTGGCACAAAAGTAGATCAATGGTCAAGCCAAGCAATCGAAATGGTGTGGTGGAGTGGTGATCACAAGTCTCTTGTTATCCCGACTCTCCACTGGCTCCTAGACGAAGGACTATAGGAGGGGATACTGCGCTTTCGTGCTGATTCCTTCGTCACCTTGTGTACTCGTACGCATTGCGGGCTTCGCTCTTCCAGGTAAATTGTGTCGATGAAAGCTTGCCCATGTTTGATATGGGTTGGTGATCAAATGAAAATCTCTACAAGACCACTTATATAATAATATAGCGCTCGATATGAGTCACCTTGGTCTCTACGAGATCACCTTGTCCAATGTAGATGCTTGATTCGCAAGCCTCCTGACCACTTGAACCGTCCCGCAATCTTGTACTTTGCTTACAACATCAGCTGAGGGGTTTGGGGATATCTTGCACTCCTGGCCAAATAATCCAGGAGTGATCTTCTTGGTGTTCGGTTGGTCTTCTTCAACGTCGGGAGACCAAATAATCCGACCCGGATAAAGAAACGATACTTGTACACTTAGAAGCAACTTGATTCATCATTACAGTTATCCACCCAAAGTCTAAACCTCTGACTAAGCCCATTCATTTCATTAGGATGGACCTCCACTTGTCGCCTTGTGCTGTCAAGATTTGATCTTCCATCGTATTTGGTGGTCCACGCCAGATTACCATGATCTCACCATTCGAAGATCGAAGTGTACGAGATCACGTCACCCAACATCACGTCACTTAATGCCACGTCTTCCAATATCACGTCTTCCAATATCAAGTCACCCGATGTCGCATCGCCCAAGATGCGGTGTCCAAGATCGCTTGGCCTGAAAATGCGGTTTGTGGTGCACCCTATTGTGTGACTCACACCTATTGCAAAATCGTGCTTAGTGGCAGCGTGATCGGCGGTCCAAACTTCTTGACCCGCTTTACCACATTACCAATGTCAATTAACGTACTTGTCAGTCAACATGTACCAACATGCCGTGCCTGAACAGATGGATACGGCACTTTCAGGTTATCAGGGCTGTTGCTGTGCCCGCGGTGTCAACCATAATCATTGTAATTTCAAGAGCTAGAAAGGGCTTTTGAAAGAGACTATCAATGCGGCCGGCAATCGTATCTTTTTACAATATGTTCCATTGCAAGCTGACCTTCATCGATATGTTCTAAGAAGAATTAAAGTGGCACGCTCAAAAATTTGTGACCACACGTTTAAAGGACTCGAGCATAAGGTCCCATGAACCCTTGCATCCGCCTCTTACTACCGTCCGCCGCCATGCTCGAAAAGGCTTTGAGTACATGGACGTAAAATACAAGATCCTGACTAAAACCGCCGCTGAATTCGTCGTGATAGGAGTAACTTTTACGGGGTAAACCTGCTACATTATGCTTTCATCTACGACAATATGATAATATGGAAAATAAAGTCTAATATTCTCACTACAAAAATACTAAGCTCAATGGCATTGTTGCAGTGACCCATGGATCTACTCATTGGTTGATTGAACCATTATATTAATCCACCAATCGCTGCTAGACGCGCGCAATGTGTGGTCAGTAGACGTCACCATACCTGTTTTTGTACTGATGTAATTAAGACTGGACTACTAGATAAGACACGGTATCGGACTTTTATATGATTCATGTATTATTTTATCTCACTAAGCCTTCCTCTAAATCGTACTGTGTACACAGTTGAACAAGACACTCATTCTTACTGCAGTTAGTGAGAGGTGGGACTACGCACTGTTGTCATTGCGTATATATCTGTGCTCCGTTACAGGTCGCACCAAAAGGTCCCATATACGAATTCACGACCCCCCTTCACGCTACAGTAATTACGAGACTCAATAGAAATTTGGCATTATTCTATTGCCTACAGAAGGGATCCTCGGTGACGATCTTAGAACACATGACGGGTCTCTGTTATCCTCACCCAGAAACTCAGCTCCCGGTACACCGAATTCCCACAGTGTCCAGCGACAACCATTGCAGTCGGAACTTGGAGCTTTTTACAACTCACTAAAAGCAGACAGTGACAAGTACGGCGGTGACACGGAGAGCGACGTCGATAAAATTGAGGCGGCGAAGACGATTCGATATTGTATCGACCTATTAAAAATAAAACCAAGATAAAATCGTGTTTTTTATATTTAAAACCAAGAACCCGATGCGTCGACCAGAAAGAATCGGGCTTTTTATCCACTGCTACTTATCAATATTTTTGCATGTGGGAAATATAATAAAAGTCGAAAAAGTCTATGTGGGATTTTTCGGGGGCCAAAAGAGGCTCGCCGCGAGCTATTATTCCCAAAATTCTCTAAACTTTAGGGTCCTAGAACCTCGCAAAATATATGTCAAGGAAAACCCCGAGACTATAGAAACGAAGCTAGTAGCGGGCTCAAGCCATCTATAGTCTTAGATTTGTGTGTTAAAAAGTAGGGGTGAGGAGTAGCTGAGGTAACAGAGATCGGAAAGTGTTACAGGTTATAGATGGGGCACACTGTACGTCGTCCAACCATATACTTTGTGAACATCGATGACGAAAACGTCCCATAATCAACGCTTTCGTCATCAATGGGCAGCTTCGGACCTACAGGGCTCTCGCTCGCTTTTCATCGAGCATGTCGCACAAGTACAGTATCTGACATTAAAGCGGCGTTATCCAATCGACCGTGTGTAAGCGGTTCCAACGATCTCACCGTCAATTGCAACTCGCACGCTGATTCGTCGAAACTCGGCGAAGCAGGTGATGTCGCGTCGCCTCCGCACGTGTGTGTTTAGAATGAGCAAGACGGCCACGGACCTTCCGCGCGGCTGGAAGGAGGTGCAGAGCAAGAGTCGCCCCGACAAAGTGTACTACCTGCATGTCAAGAGCGGTGAGAAGACGTGGAAGCTCTCGCAAGTGCACGCGAAGGAGCGCGAGCTCCGACGCCGGACGTCGACCGCCCGCTCCGAGAGAAAGAAAACGCGGCCAGCCGACGGCTCCTCTGGCTCGGAGACTGTTCAGGTACGTAATGAGGTTCCGTCAGTGAAGGTGGAGGTACGTGGTTGGGCAAAATGAACGAGCTGACGCGATTGCTGCGACTGGTGCGTCTATACTGAGTGCAGGCGCTGCATATCCTCGTAAAACACTCGGGATCCAGGAGACCATCGAGTTGGCGACAGGAGACTATTACCCGCTGCAAGGCGGTCGCAGAGGCCAAGGCCGGTGGTATTCGTGACAAGCTGCTGGCACACGTAGAGGCGAACGCTGATGTACGCGGACTAGCAGCTGGGCCAACGGAGGGCTGTGCTGGTGCTCGCTGACGCTCGGTCTTTATGTTTACAGAGATCGTCCGAGGCACTGCGCGAGCTGTTTGAGCAAATCGCAAAAGAGGAGAGTGACTGCAGCAGGTGCGTGACGGATGCGATATTGCGCCTTCCCGTGATAGTGCAGCGGCTGGAAGTCGGGAGCTTGACATTATGATGTGGTATGCAGTGCAAAGCGCGGGGGCGACTTGGGACCGTTCACGCGCGGGAAGATGACCCCGTCGTTCGAAAAGGCTGCGTTTGCGCTGCAAATTGGCGACCTTAGTGACTTAGTGGAGAGCGACAGTGGTATCCATGTGATTCTTCGCGTCGCATAACCAAACACTCACTCGAGCGGATGTGGGCACGCTAGGAATGGTCGCAATGCTGGCCTCTGACGTGCAGCACCTCCACGCTGAGTCTCAGCCACTGTTTGATTGTATTTTTGTACAGCACGGTATCTCGATTCAAGTTCGATGACAGTACTGCAAATTGCGCAAATGACAATCTCATGAAAACTTGCGCGGGTGCATTACGTCTAGAAGATGGATATAGTATCGCAACAAGCAACAGTCAGAGCTCGAACACCTGGGCAAAGATGTTGTCATCTTCCGTGCTTCCGCTGTCGTCATCACAGGCGCTGTCGACGAAGAGTCCTTTGCAGGGACGGAATGCCAATGGCACTTTGCCCTTTTCCTTTCGCTTCAGCTGCTTCTCAAAGAGACTCTTGTAAGTAATCTCCATGCTCTCATCGGTATCGACAAACTGGTGGCGCAGCTTCTCTTCAAACATCCGCGCCTTCAGTGCGACGTCGGCGTTGTAGTGGTGCTTCATCGTGTACAATTCCCACAACGAACTCTGCAACGCATTGCACTTGGCCGGGTCAAGCTCGTCGTTGATGAAAGGGTCGTGGCCGTCCTTCAAAACCATTTCCAGCTTCTTGCTGGACAACTGCTTTGCTACAGCATCAACAGCAGTCCCACTGGAAAACTCCTCTCGGCGCTTGGCAGCCTTCTCAGCTGCAGTAGATGCACCAGTACGGTGGATGAGCTGCAAGCATTCCTTGTGACGCAGGATCAAGTTGTACACCATCGGAATAATGAACAGAATAGCGCCTGGCTCGGCCGTCAGTGCACTGCGCGACAACCGCTTGGCAAAAGCAGCGACTGTGTAAGCTGGCAAGTGTGTAGACGAGAGGAAGAGGCTTAGCAGTCCAAAGAAACGGTCGCGCTGCTTCGCCGAATACAGTGACGGGTCGTCCAGCATACGATACAGCTTGTTGTAGAAGTCGGGCGAGTCAAAGTTGTAGTCCTGAATAAGGATGAATAGACTGTTCAGCGCCAGCAAACTCGTGACTCCGCCGATGTTGTATGAATCGGTCAGGAAGTCTGCTAGCAACAGCGGGTTCACCAGATGCGGCATGATCTTGTCCGGCAACTGCACCAGCAACTTTCTGTACGCAGCCGGCGGCAGTTTATGGCGTAGGACAGCAATCCATGCCAGACTGAAAACATGACGGTGTTGCTTCACGCTGCGCAAACCTCGACTGTCGTCCTTTGTTTTCTTCGGTTCAGAACCAGCCTTCCTTTTTGATCCGGCGGTACAAAACGCCTCTTCTTCCTCCTCGTCACTTTCGTCATCGCTGCTCACCATGTCCGGCTCCAACAAGGCAGTATCCGCCGGCTCAACAAGGAACGATACGATGTCTTCGGTCTCGTATGGCATCCGCACCATCCCTAGCATCCGAAGCGCGTTTGTCACCAATGTCAACCTCTCCGTCTCGTCTTCCTCTTCTTGCGCGTGCGCGTGATCCAAGATCTGCGCCAAGTTCTTCAGCTGCGCACACAAGTAGCACACACTCAGCAATCTAACATCACCGTTCTTTCACAGTTACAAAATCGTACCATGTAAAACTGCACATCCATGTACGCTCCGACAAATTCGCCTTTAAAAACGCTCGCCAGCTCTCCCTTCAGCTTTTCTGTCGTTGCTAGCGTCTGCACCACCCGTGCAAACGTCTCCTTCCCAAAGGTAGACGCAGTTTCTCCACGGATCGCACCTTCGCAGGACACAAACTCCATCAGCGTGCGCAGCGGCTCCCACACGCAGATTGCTGTCCGTCTGCGCGTCTCCGAGCCATTGCAGCATCTTCTGCAGGAAGTTCACGTACATGTCCCACAGCCAGCAACGAAACGTGTCAATGGCCTGCGTGTCGTCGCCCTTGGTCTTCTTGGCCGCCGCTTGTGGTCCAGTCAGCTTGTGCTGCAGATCACCCTTTTCCAAGAAGAACAGCAGCACTCGCCGCATGCTCAGCATAGCTGCCTGTGCCACCGCCTTGTCGCAATGCTGCAGCGCCTTCACCACCGCAGGCAGCACGTTGATCTGCTTGACATCTTCCTTGATCTTGGCTTCCAGCTGCTTGATCGCCGCCACGCTCGTCATAGTGCTCGTGTCGAAGCGCTTTCGGACCAACGAGTCGTGCGGCTGAGTGACCGGAGTGATTGATTGGTGGAAAGAAGGTCGGCTCGAAGAAGTGGGTACATTGCTCGAGCATCAGTTGCTAGAGGTTGTGCTAAGACCGAGCGAAAAGAGAGCAAGCCGCGACGCCGACGCTCTATTTCTAACGCTATTTCTATCGATTCGACCAGGACGTCCACGCTCGCAACCACTCTGGAGAGCACGCGATGGACGCCGCGGAAGAGCACGAGAACGACTACCTGCGCTTCTTGCGCGGCATGCGCCCAGAAGACGATGACATCCAGTCTTCTTTACGTGAGCAGCTGCGTGACGTTTTGTCCTGTGATGGCTTGGCAATGTGCCGTCGATCGACTGTGCTGACAAGTGTTTCTCTATTGCGTGGATCATCTTTTGCATCGATTGACACAGCGGATCTGTCAACGACGCAGCCATCCGAGTTGGACTTCCGCACGTCGTTCGTCGAGTCGGACGGACTCACGGAGATGGACCAGGACGGGGCTGAATTTGCCAGGATGCTGCTGGCCCAGGCCGAACAAGAGCAAAAGGATTCAGAGGCGGAGGAGGCTGTTGCGGCAGCGCCCATTTCGCCGGACGAGGCGGTCGGTGTCGTAAGTAAATTGCTGCAGCTTTCGCCTGTGCAACTGAGGGCAGACGATGGTCGGACCGACCGACTAATGGAGCCAACAAATCTAGCAGCGGAGGCGATCGGTCCTGTCACATCGAAGAATCGATGCCGATACTACAACAAAGAGCGCATACGATGTATACGTGCGGCGACAGGACTAGACGGACGCTGTGCAACGCACAAGATTAGCCAGTTCTGCAAACACCCGAAGTGCGGCAAGTACAGCCAAGGAGTCGGCTACTGTATAAAGCACGGCGGTGGGAAGAAGTGCAAAAAGGAAGGTTGTGACAAACAGGTCCAGGGATACGGCTTTTGCTCCGGACATGGCGGAAAACCGCTGTGTTCTGTCGATGGCTGTGAGAAGAAACGGATGGAAGGAGGGTGAGAGAAGCGAAAACAGAGCTCCGTGGCTACTATTTCTACCTGTAGGGGCTCATCTGTTCACGCTGCTGTGTCTTTCGTGACAGGTATTGTAAAGCACACGGCGGTGGTAGATTTTGCCAGCACGAGGGTTGCTCAAGACGAGATATCGGTGGCGGTCGCTGCATCTCGCACGGTGGCGGGAAGAAGTGTCAGTCAAAAGACTGCACAAAAGTTGACCGAGGTGGTGGTTTCTGCAAAGCGCACGGCGGCGGCAAAAAGTGCGAGGCTGATAACTGCAAGAATTGGGCACTTGGTGGAGGCATTTGTTTGGAGCACAAGGGTCCAGGCAAGCGCTGCAAAACAGCAGGATGCACAAAGTACGACCTCGGTGGCGGCCACTGCATTGCCCATGGCGGTGGACGCAAGTGTGTCGTGGAAGGTTGCAACAAGATTCGTCAGGTAAACAAGCGCTGCCGTGGTCACGGTGGCAAGGTCATGTGCAGCGTGATCAATTGTGACCGCGCAGCTCAGAACCGCAAACTGTGCAAAGCCCACGGAGGTAGTAAGCTGTGTCAACACGAGGGATGCACGAACAAGCAGAAAGGCAAAGGATTTTGCATTCGTCATGGCGGTGGCACAAAGTGCAAGGAGCATAGCTGTAGCGCAGTCGATCGTGGCGGGGGCTATTGCAAGGGCCATGGCGGGGGCAAGAAGTGCTCATATGCGTACTGCAACGTGTGGGTCATTGGTGGTGGCTACTGCGACGAGCACATCAATTTGGAGCTTTCTCATTTGCCCGAAGAGGTTCCACGCATTTCGCCGAGCTCATATGTACTAAGCGAGTCAGTCGCGACAATCTAGGACCAGTGTGGCTGCGCGTTGCTTCTGCCTTTCGTGTCGTCTACTACACTATACCAATACGCTGTTCACGATCCAAGAGTGGTCGTCTCGTTTTGTGTCCACCACTTCATGTCGCAGGTGTCGTTCAGTCGTCTCGTCCAACGACGGACAGGCGTCAACATGGTAACCATCGCACACGTAGTCAATCTCAGCAAATCAAAACGCACGACGATACATTCGGCCGTCTTGTCGGAATAGAGCCGGGAGACTACGGGATCACAAACAGACCATGTGAACTGAAGACCTCCTCAGAGCACCACTTTTCAGTTTGCGCAATAGCCGACACGCGCTTCTCCGACGCCAAGCCATGCTCCGCTCGTGTCTCGCACTGGCGCTGGGCGTGTGCTTCGTGGACGACTGCTACGCCCGTGTCGATCCGGCACCGACCCTGATCAAGTGCAGGACGTATGCCGAGACGGCCGCGTACTTGCTGGAGCTCAACGCCACATTTCCCGACGTCGTGCGGGTCTCGGTGGCCCAGGAGACCTACAACCTGCCGTACCCAAAGGAGCTCAGGTGTATCGTGGACGAAAAGACGAACGCGACAGAGCCGTGCAAACACTTTGTAGTGCATTTGACCAACCACGCGACGCTAGCGAGCGATCCGGAGAGACCTGAAGTCTTTTTCAGTGGAGCAGTGCACGGCAACGAACGCGTTGGACCCAACGCAGTCGTTGAGCTCGTGGCGCTATTCGCACATGCCACGTCAAAGTACCGCACGAAGGACATGCGGGAGCCAACAGCAGACACGCAGCGCTGGCTGAAGGAGCTCGTGAACACGCGGAACGTGGTGCTGGTGCCAATGACCAACGCTTACGGCTACTCGCGCAACGAGCGCAGGGAGTTGACACTGGACCCAAATCGAGACTACAACTACATGAGAGCAGGTGCGGAATGCATGCAAACAATGACGTCTCGTGTGGTGAATGAGATCTGGAGAGACCATATTTTCCAGTTGGCAGTGACGTTCCATGGCGGCACCCAAGCAATCGCGTACGAGTGGGGCGCCCCGAACCATTACTTCCATGGTGACAAGACCCAACCAAGTCAGAAGTCGCCTGACGACGTGGCTCAAGTCCAACTTGGCATCACATTGGCCAACTTTGCTGGCACATTTGCTAACGGAGAACTTCTTCCTGCGGGAACGATGAATGAAGTTGTGTATGGCGTTACAGGTGGCATGGAAGACTGGGGCTACGCCGCTTCGTGGGAAAACGAGTATTCGAACGAGAAGTCGCAGCCTTTTAGTCCGTGTGAGCCGACCACATTCGGTGGATATCCGAAGGAGAAGACCATCTACAACAATGTTACCAACCGCGCTTTCAATGTACTGGTCGAGACCTCGTACAAAAAGGAGCCTCTACCAGCCGACATGGGGAATTTCCAGGAGTTGTACAATGCGAATGTGGACTTCTACCGCACCAAAGGGACCTCAACAAAGGTCGTGGGGCACGTACCAAGGAACGTCCGACTGGCGCTCATGATGATCGAGATGGCTCAGCCTCTAGTGCGTTGGGTAGATGCTGGACGGTCGTCTGCGTTGCAGACCGTAGACACCTTCCCAGCAGCGAGCTTGTATACGACAAGCGACGAACAAGTGACGAAGATGGGCTGTGGAGCTCGGGCATGGGAGCGCAAGCAAGTGGCAACGTGTAGTGCTACCGACTGCAGCGTGATCAGCGCAGCACATTCGAAGCTGCAGATAGCGTGGGAAGTGCTTGGTGCGCTCACTGTGGACAGCACTCATGTCCAGGTGTCTTCCAGCGCATCCTTCGAGGACGATACCGTCCTGATCGAGACCACAGCTCAGAAGGGTACCACCCGGCGTTTCTACGAGTTCGCATCCAATTCGTCGAAAGCAGCAGCTGCCAACGCAGCCGATAAGATGGAAACGTCACTATTTGTCACGTGTCTTGACTTGGGCAACGTCACCTCGGACAAGTTTTACGTTCGAGCTGTGGCGACTGTCGACCAGGTATGTGGCGGCAATGCAATGGTCGTACTGCGTACACCCCTGGACCGGACACTGACGCGCTGTGTGTATGTGATGGTTTGTGTTTGTGTTCCAGAACTGGAAAAAACAAGGGACTGGTGCCAATATGCCTTCGCCTCAAGTGCCACCACAATCGCACTTGGTCAATGCTCGAACGAACGCAGGTTGGAACGCCAAATGGAATGGCCACAAAGTGAAGGCTGGTCTCGAGTGGGCGTCTCCGGTACGTTCGTATGTTTCTGGTCGGGTCGTATCGCGCAAAGTCTTGACTGTACATGATGGTTCTGCATGATCAGATCCTCACAGTCGATGCGGGCAAGAAGTCTAAGACAAAAGCCGCTGAGCCGGAAGCGAGCAGTGACGGATCTCCGGAGCAGGAGTCATCGTTTACGTTTCAAAGCACATCGTCTCAACGTGACAGTGCGGACTCGGACGACAACGCCGATTCACCGGTTGTTGGTAAGGTACACGCTAGTAAAGTGTAAGTTCCAGGAATGGCCGACCAAGCAGAGGCAAAGGTTTTGCTAGTTACGGCCGGGAGGAACAGCGCAAGAAGCACCACTGCAGCGCAGGAGGTATTGGTGCTGGCGATTGCAAGGGCCACGGCGGGGACGAGAAGTGCTCATATGCGTATTGCAACGAGTGGATCGTCATTGGCGGTAGCTCTTGGGATAAGTATATTAGCTTGGGTCTTTTCTGTCCACCTGAAGAGGTGTCCCACATCACGACGAGCTCCTACTATCTGAACCGAACGGACGCGTCCGTCGCGACAGTGTAAATTCAGGTTAGCCACGCGTCGTTAACACTGTTATACAGCATAGCGCTATGCTGTTTATTTTGCCTTGTACACGGTCTCTCTTTTCGCCAGGACGCTCCTTGAGCGATGACTTTGCTCCGCTCGTGTCTCGCACTGGCGCTGGGCGTGTGCTTCGTGGACGACTGCTACGCCCGTGTCGATCCGGCACCGACCCTGATCAAGTGCAGGACGTATGGTGAGATGTCCGCGTACTTGCTGGAGCTCAACGCCACATTTCCCGACGTCGTGCGGGTCTCGGTGGCCCAGGAGGCCTACAACCTGCCGTACCCAAAGGAGCTCAGGTGCATTGTGGACGAAAAGACGAGTGCAACAGAGCCGTGCAAACAATTTGTAGTGCATTTGACCAACCACGCGACGCTAGCGAGCGATCCGGAGAGACCTGAAGTCTTTTTCAGTGGAGCAGTGCACGGCAATGAACGCGTTGGACCCAACGCAGTCGTTGAGCTCGTGGCGCTATTTGCACATGCCACGTCGAAGTACCGCACGAAGGACATGCGGAAGCCAACAGCAGACACGCAGCGCTGGCTGAAGGAGCTCGTGAACACGCGGAACGTGGTGCTGGTGCCAATGACTAACGCTTACGGCTACTCGCGCAACGAGCGCGAAGAGTTGGAAGTGGACCCGAATCGAGACTACAACTACATGAGAGCAGGTGCGGAATGCATGCAAACAATGACGTCTCGTGTGGTGAATGAGATCTGGAGAGACCATATTTTTCAGTTGGCAGTGACGTTCCATGGCGGCACTCGAGCAATCGCGTACGAGTGGGGCTCCCCGGACCATTACTTCCATGGTGACAAGACCCAACCAAGTCAGAAGTCGCCTGACGACGCGGCTCAGGTCCAACTTGGCACCACACTGGCCAACTTTGCTGGTCCCTTTCCTGACGCAAAACTTTATCCCACGGGATCGATGAATGAAGTTGTGTATGACGTCGTTGGTGGCATGGAAGACTGGGGCTACGCCGCTTCGTGGGAAAACGAGTATTCGGACGAGAAGTCGCAGCCTTTTAGTCCGTGTGAGCCGACCACATTCGGTGGATATCCGAAGGAGAAGACCATCTACAACAATGTTACCAACCGCGCTTTCAATGTACTGGTCGAGACCTCGTACAAAAAGGAGCCTCTACCAGCCGACATGGGGAATTTCCAGGAGTTGTACAATGCGAATGTGGACTTCTACCGCACCAAAGGGACCTCAACAAAGGTCGTGGGGCACGTACCAAGGAACGTCCGACTGGCGCTCATGATGATCGAGATGGCTCAGCCTCTAGTGCGTTGGGTAGATGCTGGACGGTCGTCTGCGTTGCAGACCGTAGACACCTTCCCAGCAGCGAGCTTGTATACGACAAGCGACGAACAAGTGACGAAGATGGGCTGTGGAGCTCGGGCATGGGAGCGCAAGCAAGTGGCAACGTGTAGTGCTACCGACTGCAGCGTGATCAGCGCAGCACATTTGAAGCTGCAGATAGCGTGGGAAGTGCTTGGTGCGCTCACTGTGGACAGCACTCATGTCCAGGTGTCTTCCAGCGCATCCTTCGAGGACGATACCGTCCTGATCGAGACCACAGCTCAGAAGGGTACCACCCGGCGTTTCTACGAGTTCGCATCCAATTCATCGAAAGCAGCAGCTGCCAACGCAGCCGATAAGATGGAAACGTCACTATTTGTCACGTGTCTTGACTTGGGTAACGTCACCTCGGACAAGTTTTACGTTCGAGCTGTGGCGACTGTCGACCAGGTATGTGGCGGCAATGCAATGGTCGTACTGCGTACACCCCTGGACCGGACACTGACGCGCTGTGTGTATGTGATGGTTTGTGTTTGTGTTCCAGAACTGGAAAAAACAAGGGACTGGTGCCAATATGCCTTCGCCTCAAGTGCCACCACAATCGCACTTGGTCAATGCTCGAACGAACGCAGGTTGGAACGCCAAATGGAATGGCCACAAAGTGAAGGCTGGTCTCGAGTGGGCGTCTCCGGTACGTTCGTATGTTTCTGGTCGGGTCGTATCGCGCAAAGTCTTGACTGTACATGATGGTTCTGCATGATCAGATCCTCACAGTCGATGCGGGCAAGAAGTCTAAGACAAAAGCCGCTGAGTCGGAAGCGAGCAGTGACGGACCTCCGGAGCAGGAGTCATCGTTTTCGTTTCAAAGCACATCGTCTCAACGTGACAGTGCGGACTCGGACGACACCGTCGGCACACCGACTGCTGGCAAGATACATGCTGGTACAACAGCGAGCAAAGACGATGGAGAAGACATGTCTAAGGGGGAGAGTGAAGAGGAGAGTGAAGCGGAGAACAGTGGTGAGGCGAGCGACAAAAGTGCGCTGGATCTGAAGGCGGACGCGTCGGATGACATTGAGGACGCGCCAGTCGACTCTTCTTCCTCCTCTGACACCACTCAAGAGATAACGGCGTTATCGGCAGCAAGTTTGGATGTGGAGACGACGGACACACCGTCGTCGTTGCTGAAGTATGGCTACGTCATCCTGTGCTCGTGCGCCGTAATCGTTGTGCTCGCGCTCGCGTATCTCTACCGACGAGTGTTCCAGCGCGGCCGTCAGCCGTACATGAACATCAACAGTCTCGACTCGACGACCGGCGTCGCAGTCAGTAGCACTGACGACGAATACGAAGTGGATGAGACCGAAAGCACCGACGCTGGAGGTCCTCGAATTCCTCGCCATGCCCAGTCGTCCCAGAGTGTCATGTAGTAGTTGAAGTGCCTGTGGCGTCCCGGGATTTGTGGTGTGCACCACACCACAAACGCATTTCGCACCGACCGCCATGACCGACGCCAGTCTGCCCCAGTGCGCGTCCACCGCGCGTTTCCATGAGGTATGCGCTGTCCCTGCAGTCTGTACGGTCACCTGATACAGTATCTGCAGCAGTCTGTCGGCCCGTTTCGATCGCCAGCGCTTCTTAGAGGCTTTGCAATATCCATTCGTCACGATTTACTATCATCTGTCTGTCTGTCGAACTCGTCCGTGTGTTGTTCGACGTAGATGCTGCTGGATGGCACACTACTGCGCGAGCATGAGGTGCTTGCGCTTCAGGCCAACCGTCGACTGCGTGGCAAGTACCAAGCGCTGAGAGCTTGTGATGCGGCCTTCAACGCTATGCTGGACGTGCGCAAGCCAGCTGCCGAGCCAGCTACTACTACTACAGACGACGCCACTGCCTCAGATATACGACCGCAGAAGCGGCCGCAGCTGGTGTACGCCGAGTACGTGGGCTGTGTCGGTCGCGCGCTGTGTGAGCAGCCGCTGCTGCAGTGGGTTGCCTGTGTACAGTCGGTACGAGAACAGCAAAAGGAGATTCGGGACTGTGCAATGGCCAAGAGAATGCTGGAGCGCTGTCTACGTGGCGAGACAGAGGAGCTGCTCAGGGCCTCGCAACCGCAAGTGTTTCGACCCAGCGCTGCCCTGTAGAACGTATGCCTCATGTCGACGTCACGGAAGCACACTGCAGCTCTTGTCACGCCGTACAAACAACGCACACGTTTGCTTCCATTGTATCTGTTTCTGGTTTAGGGGACATTTCGTTCGCGCTTGCAGCTGACAGAGACTGCGCAGAGGAGAGCTCGCGCCTGCAAACCCAGCAGTGTACCTACCTTGCGCCAGGGTTCTAAACAATCCGATACGAGTCCGTGGAGAGCAGCTTCTCGAACCCAAACGCAATCGGCGACCCATCCTCAATCTTCTGAACGGCCTCTACCTGCACATCACTGTACACGCTCCGAGAAAAGAACGAGACGGAGATGGGGAAGAATGCGTCCATGTTGTTGCCGCGAATCGCGAATTCAAGCGTGCCCGAGTTGTTGCTGTACGAGCAAAGAAAGCGATGTAAGCCTCAACACATAAACTCGTCGCACAGCAAATGGCGAGGTACGTACTCAGAGCTGATTCGATCCTGATGCCAAAGGAGCGAGCCCTCGGCCGAGTTGTGCTGGTACTGTCCGTCCACGTTAGCAACACTCGGCGCGTCCGAGCCGCCAAGTGGAATAACGATGTTCACATTATCCAGTACCATGTCGCGGTCCAACGAGTACTCCACGCTCACGTTCATCTTCCCGTTGCCTTCGTCCTCGGGCCAACACGTGATATTCAAAGGTAGCAGCGATTCGTCCTGTGTCTTCAAGCCCCACCGCAAGAATGCCACACGGGAAGTAGGAAACGGTTTCGACGAATCCCGCAGAGCAAGCACCGATTCGCTGTCGTACAGCCTCTTGTCCACCTTCGGATGCGTCTGGAAGGAGACACCCTCCACGCCACCTGTGCGCAACTTCAGGCGGCAGCATCCAGCGCTCGGATCGTTTACCGACACGTACATACTGCCTTTCACTTCGAGCTGCTCGAGAGCTCCGTCGCGCGTCACCACCACTGTCATCTTTTCTTCAACTACAGCACCGATCGGGTCGTGGCTGACTGCAGTTGCTATTTCCGGCGTCTGGACAGTCTCAACGACTGCGCTCATCGGTGGAATTTCCTTTAGCCCGTCTTCAGCTGCCATCGCATCCATGAACGACTTGCCTCCGCCACCTAAGCCCATTCCCTTGCTACCGCTCGAGCTTCCAAGCTTCATTCCCGCAGCCTTCGACACAGCGGGCGCTGGACGACTGTTAAATGAGGTCGGCGACGTCGCAGAAGACGACATCGGGCTGTTCAAAAAGTTGTCACTGCTGCCTCCGCTGCGTGGCGACTTGAACGCGTTGCTGAACGAGCTACCAAACGAGTTCTGCGCTCCAAATCCACTTCCGCCCATACCTGCGCGCTCCAAACGCGCGCGTTCACGCTGCTCCTCCTTGATTCGCGCAGTATGACGCTTCATGTCATCCTTGGCCGCTGCCCGCTTGCTCTCGAGGATCATATTGTGCAGCTTCTCCTCGTGGCTCTCCATCTCCATGTTGATGCGGATCTGCTGTACATTGATATTTTCCGAGTGTCCGCCAGCTGTAATGAGCTCGTCAAAGCCAAAGACTAGCTCAAACTGCTTGTCTCGAATCGACGCCTCGCTCAACGGCGCACAAATGTCCGGCACGAGCTTCGCCAGCAGCTGAATCGTGTGCAAATCTTCCACAATGTTGCTCGTCTTGTTCGTAATGATGACCACAAAGAAGCTTTCAAGCGGTTGATACACGTAGCGCACGCTCTCCGTGTCAATGAACGTGTGCTCGCGCGAGCAGCTTGACAGCAGCTTGGGGAACGCCGCCAGCAGACCCTGCAATATGTACACACAAAGACTGTCAGTGCCGTGCAGCAAAGGAGCTGGCGAGTCAAAGCTCGCAACAAGAGAGAGCAATGTACACTACCACCTCGAGACGGATGCGCGTGATCTCCACGAACTGACGCGCTACGAGCACTACAGTCACGACATAGCACAGCGTCGACGTGAGTCGATTACAGGATAATAATAGAGAGAGACACACACAAGTGACAGACGATACACGTCAATGGAAAAGGCAGTACCTTTGCCGTTTCGAGACAGTAATGAGGCCGAGAGCACCACCTGCAGCACGTGGAAAGACACAAAAGAACGCCATTAGTGCGAGTTAGCGGACACACAGAGACGGCGGTAGGCGCCTCGTTAAGAAAGTGGCCGCGTATCGAGCGATGTGAAGCAGATGTGCGGGAGCTATTGGACGCGCAGACAGACGTTCACGACAGGCAGGAGACGTACCATGTCGCACGAGGATTCCGTTCTTTTCTATCTAACGCTCCTGCTCCCTCAAGAACGTGGAGCTTTCAGAGAGCGAGACGATTTTACCCAATCGGTGACACCGGTGGGTAGTATCGGCCAGTTCGAGCTTGAGATCGCGCGTGTAAAAAACGCATTTTCATCTAAGGCATCTTAAAAACGTGCTTTTTCCAATCGTCAGCACAACGACTTTCCTAGCAACATTACTTTAGTTACGATATATATAGACGTTGCGCGCCACCTATAACCTGTAACTTTTTGTAGGCGGTCAAACTTAAAATATATGGATTTTCGCCGTTTCCGCAACCAAAAACGCCTTTCTCAACGATCCCGCCGCACTGCACACCATTGGCACGCCATTCGCACGTTTTCAACTCCAATGAATGTACTAATTCGTCAAAATTCACCAACACGTCGCGCCCCAACAAACGGCTACGGCATTTGCAGGTTATGACGGCAGTTGCTGCGCCCGCAGTGTCATCCAAAACCAATGCGATTTCAAGAGCTGACAAGGGCTCTTGGAAGAGACTGTCACTGCAACGGCCATCATATCTTTACCCAAGGTTCCCTTGCAAACTGACCCTCATCGAATCGTTCGGGGAATATCAAATACCATGCTCAAAAAAGGCCTCAATCACATGGTCCTAAATCCCTTGCGTTCGTCTCTCTCACTACCAACCGCCGCCATTTTCGAAAGTGCTGTGGGTATATGGACGTGTATCGCAAACCTCTGACTAGGAAGGCCTTCGACTACGCCATACAGAAGTATCGGTCGCATTGTAAGGTTCTAATTCAAAGTTAACGGATGTGAACGTTTAACTGCTGCCAATCATTGTGCTTTGCAATAGTTTTGGCAAAAAGTGACGGGTTTTGATGGATTTGGATAATTGAATGCGTCGTTTTTTGGTAAATAGAGGGCATAAACAGGCAAAAACCCAATGCCGTTTAGGGTGTCGACAGCCATTTTTGCACTTTGAAGACTGCAAATACGGTTCTTTGACACTGGTTGCTCTACTTATTTATAAGGCTGCATGTAAACAATTTCGATAACATCGAAAAAATGATTCTACGCGGGGAATTCGGGGCGGCCAAATGTAGCTGTCTCGCCGCGAGCCCTTATTCATCAAATTCTCCGAACTTAAGGGTTCTATGACTTCGCGAAATATTTGTCAGTAATAAAATCCGAGACCATAGAAATGAAGCTAGCAGCGTGCTCAAGCCATCCATGGTCTCAGATTCGTGTATATAAAGACGTATGGGGTGGCGATTAGCTGAGTTACGGCGATCGGAATGTTTCAGGTTATAGATGGTGTACACTATACCATATATTTGCCAGCGCAGATACACCAAGCCATTTAGAACCGTCAATATTGTAGATCCATCCTTATCATACTCCGCATCGTATCATTGTGTCGCTGCTTTAGTAACAAGAAAGCTGGTCTTGGAACAAGTAAAATTTGCTACGACGATGAGCGTGATGTGCGAATCGATGAAATGAGTTAGTCGTCCTGGTTTACGCCAAACTCGGCGCAACTTGAGCTGGTGTCAAGCGAGATCGCTCACCGACCAATTATAGTGCAGGCCACCATTTTCATATAAATGCTGAAACAGGCTTCGCTAAAATATTTTCGGCTGGCGTCTCATTGATGCTAACACGTGTGATATCCTGTTGTTGTGTGGGTACCATAGCCTGCTGATTGCTATACGGTTGCAGATCCAATCGTTGGTCGAAATAAAGCATTTTTCGATTCAAAACGTATGGATCGACATGCGACCAACCCCTGATCGTTTTCGGTGCAGCATAATGACCTCCCACACCTATAAGGATTCAAACTGAAACATGATACATTGTAGTTTAATGCGACTCATACGTCTCGTTCAAGTCAGACGATAAGGTCGCAGATGATGCTACGTCATATTTAGATGAAAATATTAATCGATTGTATCGGCATTACACAATCTGTTAAAATACAAAAAGGTGAAAAAATTAAGCACAAGAAAGCACTATCCGTGACATCAGGGGCAAAGTCTTCCGATCGATCATAATTGTTATTGCAGAATGTGTACAGATCCACTGTAAAATTCGATGAACCTTGCCACGAAAACGGAAGGGAGTATACTTTGCGAGTCAAGTGATCTGGAGTGCTCAAGATAGCAATTTGGTGAGTGATTGATGAGGTCTTAACAACAGCGGCAACAACGATAACAACAACAACAACATACAACAACAAAAATACGCTACCAACTATTACACGTGCATCACTTGGCAACCGTCTTATTCCAAAATCTCACCACAATTAACCTTCTTAATCTCATACCTGGGTGATGTCTCGCTCCACAATGGTGACTGTACTTCGCGTTGACCTCTCCAAGTTCATTCTATAATGAGCGTACAGCTATCGGGTGCATCGATATCAACTTTACAACGACAACAAAACAACAACAACAACATCATCAATACTTACCTTCAATCCAGTCGAAATGTCGATGGAGACGACTCGTTCGCGGTCACCTCCAACATGATTTCATATATCGAATGACAGACCTACGGGCCAAAGTAGTGCGAATGTAATTGTCTACTCCTGGGCCCTTACTTAGAGGGACTAGTAAGACAGCAACAAAATATACTGGCTGATAACTATGACGCACATACTGATTCATTATCATATATGAACAACATACTGTCTCCTGATAATGACATCGCACAGTGTTGTAGGTCCCAGACAAGAACATGCTTGGTTTGTGTGGAGATACCAAGACCGACTTGGTCATGATTAAAAACACGATATAGCATAACTAGTAACGTAAAGCACGTTCCATGATAAATGTTTTGAGGAACTAATACGTAAATTTGGAAATCGTAAACCGTACGTCTGACCGAGGAACTAGATAAGCGTACTTATTTGATGCATCACAATTGTCCGAGTATTTGATATTACAAAGCGTGCCGATTATGAACGAACTGGACACGGAAGTTCTGGCCAAACTTAAAACTCCGAGATCTAAACTATCTATCAGTCAATGGATGCTATTACGCAAGACAGTTGTACGTGATTTGCAGCAGCCATTTTCGGCTGTGGCATCTACACTGACATCCAACACACACCACCATATATAGCACACTTCTACCATTTGTATTAGTATGGTGTTCAGCACACGACACGTGCGGATCAGTCAGCATTAATCGATGTAATTGGACTCGATTCGAGTCCTTCGCGATATTTCGCACCATTTCACCAAGCACTACGTCACGTTTAGATATAGCATCAACCTCCTTTGTACTTGGCTTATCCTTTACTTCTGCCGCTTCAAGTAAATTTGTCGCGATAGCTGATCTTTTGCTTCAGCATATATTCCTTCACCTTAATTCCCCTCATTATCACGTTTTGGGCAGTTTTGCTTGTAATGAACCGTGTTACAATTTAAACAACCACTGTTAGACTTATTAAAACCTTTCTTGTAATCATCCTGAGCACCATATTACCTTGATACTTACTGCTCTTTTCATATTGCTATTAGTTCGTGTCATTTAAGGCTGTTTCCGAAGCCATTTTATCTCCAGTCTTTCTTTCTGTATCAGTGGTGAAGAATCAGCTCATGAAACAATCCTAATTTATTGTTCGCCATCTTAAAGGTAGATGTAATTCACGCTGTAAACAAAAAACTTTTGAAGAGTCATAGCCGGATTCGACTTACCTTCAGACATATCTACCAGCTCCTTCCGCATCTTCAACTTCTGATCATTCATCACGACTTGTTTCGCAAGCTTCATCGAGAGATAAGTTGGGGTTGAAATCTTCACCTTTGTTTGCTTTCTGTAACGGTGGTACACGATAAGCTCTATACCCCGGTATGGGTACGTATCCCGTGTGGTGTACCACTCATCTAAACCAGTGTAGCTAAACGTAGTATCAATACGCTTTGAGTTGTACTTAATTATAGAGTTAGTGCTAACTTTAATTGATTGAGGGGGAATTTCTTACGCTATCAAAGAGAAAATAAAATCAGTTCCCATCTCAATCAGCTAAATAACCGTTCCTTACCAAGGATTATTTGATCGTTTTAGAGGATTTGAAAAGATTGTTAAGGCATTAAATCTCGAAAACAAAGTGCTGTCACTTCAGTGAATCCTTAGAGTCCCTTGAAACAGGAGTCGTAGATCTCTGAGCTATCTCGACTCGTAAATTTATTGTTCTAAGAACTACTCAACTCGACGAGTCGATTTCAACCGAACGTACAGACTCGTATAGTCGTAATTATCAGGTAAAAAAAGTTTCCCTATCAGTCGAACTGTCAAGGAGCTATAATAGCCCGCTACACTTTTTCTCACTCCCTGTCTTCTTCTGATATCATCCCTCGTCCAATAATAATAGTAATAATAATAATAATAATAATAATAATAATAATAAATATAATATCTCCTTGACGATCGCTATCACGTCAAGAAGAATCTATTTGCATGCAGTATCATGGCGGCTTTGTAAAACCCAACAGTCGTCGTCTCTCTAGCTCACAGGAGTTTCTGCAGACTAAATACTCAATGACTTGCGCTCACCCTTTCTACTTTAAATTTGGATGTGGATGACATTTAAGCACACTTTTTCTCTGAACAAATCTCGCTTGTCTAAATTATTTTAACGTGGTGAGCCGTAATAACAACATCGGAAGCAAGTAATCTACTTAATACTGAACGAATAAATTTAGACTGATACACAGTGTGCTACCGCGGATGGCAACGTTATCTACTTAAGTGGAAGTTTGCACGGAGAAATAGCGCCAGGGTTGACGATAGAAGCATTTCATTTTCAACGTTCTTTAAACCTCACCTGAATACGTAAGTTAATTAAATGGTATGCTGTTTCCAGCAATATTGAACGAATTCTACACAATAATACCCAATTGTGAGGCTCGACAACGAACACATCACGAACGTGACCCAGTCTACGATTCATGCATCCTCAAGCGCTCTTTATGATCTTCAACAA